TGCTTAGTCTGAGTGGCCGAACGGTCCACTCCCGATCGGCCGAAACTTATTGACTAAAACGTCCCATAGGGCGTGGCCTAAGGACGTATTTTAATTTAAGGACCATTCATGGTCCCGATCGGCATTAAATGCCAGGTCGACAATTGTACCCAGTACGGGGCGAAATACGTACTTGAATACCCGGGAAAACACTAGGTGCTTCTGGTCGTGGACTCTGGCAGTTCGAGAAATAATTCTAGACCGAGGGTTATTATTAACGCTTCGGCCGGTAGCCATGAATAAAAAATAATACAAAAGAAGTGTGTTATACATGTGTGTAATTGTATATACTTGTATATGTTGTTCGGCCGTACGGCCGTATTACCATGCTTACTGTGCAGTGAGATTCTTGAGATATTCTCGAACGGGAGGTCATGATTCACGTAGATGTTCATGACGATTCAGCATGAAGCGCGTAGACGTTCATGCCCGACAACAAGAAAAGAATCACATTTATTCAAAGACGTTCATGATGCACAGAGATGTTCATGACGTTCGACGTGACGCGCAGAGACGCTCATGATTGGCAACAAAAAGAAAGAACATTTACATTTAGAGCCGTTCGGTCAGACCGGGCGGGAAGATCGGGAAATGCAAAAAAAAAAAGAGGAAAGAAAAAAAAAGGAATGAAAAAAAAAGGAAAAAAAAAAAGGAGTGAGAGAGAGAGTGAGGTTACTAGTGTGTAGAAGGAATCATGGACAATTGAGAAAAGAAGAGACTACAAATGTATAGATGTCACAACACATGAAGGGAAGTTCTATGGACTATACGATACACGAGCTTTCAGATTACGCTACCTGACTGGCAATCCGGCCTTCGCCGTTCGGCACCTAGACCAACATTATGGGCTGAGGGCGCCTGCAAGACCCTCGGATTTACAGATCGGCCTCCCAGCGCCGACTTTCCTCTCACCACAACCGACTCTTCTGGCTCGGCATGGTGATCATTTGGAAGACCGGCCTCATTTCTGCTCCTCACGGATGAGGACCGTTGATTATTTGTTTCTGATCGGCCCCCAGCGCCGACATCATTACATGGCCACCGACCCTTTGGTACGGTGCCCTTATCATATTTGAAGACCGGCCTTGTCCCCGCATCGTGCAGATAAGGACCGTTGCTAGTTCTGTTCCGATCAGCCCCCAGTGGCGACCTCATTACATGGCCACCGACCCTCTGGTACGGTGCCATTATCATATTTGAAGACCGGCCTCGTCCCCGCACTGCGCGGATGAGGACCGTTGCTTGACTTTCAGCATGACTACATTTTGTGGACCGCTGCCGCAGTTGCTGCCATTGTCCTTGAGCAGAGGGCGCTCGCAAGACCCTTGGATTATTCATGTTCCTCATATCATGATCAGCCCCACAGCACGACATTATTTGCTTAGGAGGCATCTTCACATTCCATAAAGTCTCACCTCGATCGATAGATACCACTTGTCTCGATCCATGGGGAGCCACCATCTCAGCACAAAAAAAAAAAAAAAAAAAGATGCAGGTTAACCAAGCCCGGACTCAGCTTGGGAGATGGTGTAAAAGATCTTGAGTAGGACGAACCGGGCGGCATCCGAAGTCATAGGGTGACCGAGCGGGGGATCGGGACTCTGGTCTTAAAATCTTGCCTTGGCCATACAGCTCGCCCGAACCTTATTGTGGTGGAACCCGAGCTGTAACCAAGAGGCGAGTCTCCATTTTGGCAGAGAATAAGGGGGAGACCCGAATTGGGAGCCTTATTTTCAATGGTCCAGGATGGACATCTCAACCTCATGATATGGATGACCCCGGACGGTAAAACCGACGGTATGCATCGGAATCATGGGCTTGGAAGATGGCAGACACTACACAAATTGTGAAACTGTCTTGCAGCAAGAGGTGATTGCCTTGCGGATAAGAAAGAACACGGATGATAACACGAACAAGTTACATCAGCCTTGGGCCTACAAGGCAGCAAGAGGTGATTGCCTTGCGGATCAGGAAGAACACGGATGATAACACGAACAAGTTACATCAGCCTTGGGCCTATAAGGCAGCAGGCAGCAAGAGGTGATACCTTGCGGATCAGGAAACTACGAACAAATGGCGGAAATAAGCCGAACAGCTTGCACCTTAACCCTGGTGCTGACTTGTAGCAGAAATGACCTATTATCCAGATGATCTGACCGCTTCTGTAGCTCTACGATCAGCCACCTCGGCACGACGTGATCATCGTTGTACATCAGACCGTTCTAGTGGGACGAACGGTCGAATGGAACTATTGTTTGGAACGACCAGGGGAGAACGACCCGTTCGGCGAAGGCGAGCGAACGGGGAATATAATTGGCTGGGAGGTGATGTGAATTCATGATGGCCCGCAGTGGTCTCGAGTCAAGTCCAGGTCTGTCTGAGTCAAGTCAAGTCCATGTCTGTCTGAGTCAAGTCCAGGTCTGTCTGAGTCGAGTCAAGTCCATGTCTGTCCGAGTCAGGCTCGTCCATCCTTAATCTAGGATGACGATCGCTTATTTTATGCAGCACGTTCGGGCTCCACAGCACCGTCGTGCCTGGCTTTCTGGCGGGCTCGTCCATCCTTGCTCTGGGATGGCAACCGTCGCTCTTATGCAGCACGTACGGGCTCCACAGCACCGTCGTGCCTGGCTTTCTGGCGGGCTCGTCCATCCTTGCTATAGGATGGCAACCGTCGCTCTTATACAGCACGTTCGGGCTCCACAGCACCGTCGTGCCTGGCTTTCTGGCGGGCTCGTCCATCCTTGCTCTGGGATGGCAACCGTCGCTCTTACGCAGCACGTACGGGCTCCACAGCACCGTCGTGCCTGGCTTTCTGGCGGGCTCGTCCATCCTTGCTCTGGGATGGCAACCGTCGCTCTTACGCAGCACGTACGGGCTCCACAGCACCGTCGTGCCTGGCTTTCTGGCAGGCTCGTCCATCCTTGCTATAGGATGGCAACCGTCGCTCTTATACAGCACGTACGGGCTCCACAGCACCGTCGTGCCTAGTTTTCTGACGGGCTCGTCTATCCTTGCTCTGGGATGGCGATCGTCGCTTTTATGCAGCACGAACGGCTGGCTCTACAGCGCCGTCGTGCCTTCTTCTCGGTCGGATCCACCCATGCCATTCAGGGTTGGGACTGCCGCTTTATACAGCACGAACGACTGGCTTTTCAGCGCCGTCGTGTCTAGTGCGGGATTGCACCTCACTTAGGGCTTATACATGCCTTGCGTCCGAGATTATTCCAAGACTCTGATTCAGGGAAGGCAGGGAAGGACGTGAGCAGGATTATACTTTCTCGAGTAGATTTGCAGGCTCACTACTCAAGAAACTGGGGGACTTGTGTTGGGTATATTACCCCGGCCTACTACTGTTCAGAGGCCCAATACACCGCCCCGATACGGGGCCCAGTTAGCAAGGATCATTTAGGCCCAACCGGCCCATTTAGGCCCATTGGCCCATTAGCATAGCCCTAAAACCCCCCTCCCCTTCTATAAATAGGAGGCGAAGCCTCCTAATTAAAGGATCTCTCTTTTGGAGCTCCAGAAGCTCTTCTCTTTCATATCTTCTCCCCCCATCCTCTTTATTGTTTTAGAAGAGCACCAAGCTCCATTAATGGGGTCCGAAAATATGTATTATGTAATTGAGTGATGGGAGGATATGAATAAGAAAGAGCGGGCTTGGACGTTAGCCTAAAAAGTCCCGTGGTTTTCTCCCTTTCCGGGTTTCCACGTAAAAATAGCTAGTTCATACACCTTTTATATATTTTATTTATGGTTATACCGAATCCATCGTCCTTAATATCCGAAGTTTATGTTGGGCTTCCGGATCTACGGGACAAAACCTCAACACAAGTATAGTTTCTAGTAAGTTATAAAATTCTCAAATTAATTACGTATTAATGTAACCATAATATTGTAAAAAACCAAAATAAAAGTATAAGATAACATTTTAAAATAGATAACAAAATACCGAACCACAAATCTATAAATTAAACATCACACAATCACTTTAATTAAAATGTTGATCATCATTCATAAACTAATTAAAAAGTAAGTAGCACCATAAATTCATAAGAATTTAAACTAGTTATTATACATATTTGTCTATGAAAACAATTTAAAACTATTAAATCTCCAAGTATAAGTAAAATTAAGGTAATTATATGAATATGTCACATTTCATTGAGTAGACAAAAAATATTAAAGAAAAAAGTTTGATCCACTTGGAATAAAGAATTGAGGAAAATAATTTAGGAGTTTAATTATATGGATTTGGAAACTATATTTAATAGATTGAGAAGTTTCTTCAATTGGAAGTCTTTGTCTAGACACATGAACATGAACAACTTTCGTGTATTGTTAGTATATTATATTATACTAGTATTGAATATGATAGAAATTATTAAAATAATACTTTAAAACGGTCCGGTACGGGTACCCGTTTTTTCAAATTTTAAGACTCGTCCGGTTCCTAAGTTTTTCAGGCCCCGCCCGAACCGTTTGAGTTTTCTAAAATTAGGACCCGACCCTAACCCGCCCCGAACCTGTATTACCCGGTCCGACCTGCGGTTCTAGTACCCGTTTGCCCACCCCTACCAAACACCCCATGGAATAAAAGAGAGAGAGAGATGTCAATACTATAATATGACATCTATTAGGTATCATTATTTTTGTTAATTAAAGATAAGATGTTGATATTATAATATACAAGTACATACTTTTCTTCCATTTTAAGTTAATTGATGATACCGTTAGTAATTGATGACAAGTATATACTAGAATCATGCTAATCTCTAATGGTTTAGTCAATCATTTTTCGGGAAGAAGCTCTAAATACAACATGCTACATCATCAATCGAGCCATGATCCACCCTCTATTAGGAAAGACTCCATATAAACTTCTAAAAGGGAGAAAATAAAACATTAGTCACCTAAGAATGTTTGGGTGCAAATGTTTTGTGTATAACAATGGGAAATACCTCATATGTAGATTTGATGCTCGAAGTGACGAAGCAATCTTCTTTGGATACTCCTCACATAGTAAGGCCCACAAAGTACTCCATAAATGTACTCAATGCATTGAAGAGAGCACTCATATAATCTTTGATGAAGCAATTGGTTCAAGACCACTTTTGGATGATGATGGAGAGGTTGGTATTACACGAAGATCACACCAAATCCATGAGCAAGGAGGAACTAATCATTAAACCAATCAGCATGAGGAGCAATAAAAGGAAACTGACAATAACATGCCTAGAACCGATGATGTACCCAGTGAATCTACCGTTGTAACACCGTCCCCAAATGTATTTACTTTTACCAAACTATGTTTTAAACCTTAAAAAATGGTTAATGAATTTACGGGGTTATAAATTTTTCGTCATTACTCTTACGTGAATAGTAGAAGGCACGTGGGGCCACACCAGAAGTGGGGACCACCCCATAATTCTGGAACCACATATTATATTCATCTTGGTCTAGATAATATTTATATGATTTTTTTTCTCTTTTTTCTACTCTAGGGGGCGTCTAGGGGAGGAGGTCTGGGCTAATTATATGATGGTATATATTCATGTTAGGCCATAGAAACAACGTAAAGTTGGCCGATTGATCAAATGAGTCCCATATACCAGTATCAACATACTACCGCATAACGGCCCGTAATAAATTCTGGGGACTACTAAATTAAAGTTAGGGGACACACACACACATGTATATTCATTCTAGAGGCCCATAGAAATTGGAAGAATGATATATATTTTATTTGGCCCGGTAAGATGAAATTTAATTAAAACAGTATGAGAAATACACAACTTTCGGGGCCAAGTGTACACTCCGGGACATAAGAGGATGACCTCCCACATGACTGATGGCTACCCTACAAAATTATGCGCTCAGGACAGCTGAGGGACGACTGGAGCTATAGGAGGGGATGGGGTAGATGTTTGACTCGAGTTGATTGGTATTAAAGGGTGCATGTGGTAGGCCTCTCTCTCACATTCAGTAAGAAAAAGAGACAAAAGAGGTCTCCTCATCCCTACCCCTATTATACTTTGAACAAAACCATCCAAGAGAGAGAGGAGAGCTCTGCAACACCATTTCTCCATAGCTACATTCGAGCTCAAGCAAAGAAGGTCCAAGAAAAGAGTTTAAATAAGGAAAGGCGAGGAAGAAACTTGGGAGATTAAGGTAATGACCTCATAGTTATCTTTCCTTCTTCCAACTAAGCTTATATGACTAAATAAGTTATATGGAATACCCCTAGGATTATTCTACATGTTTAGAAGTGTAGAATAAGGGGTTGGAACGTGGTTCTAAGTCCAAGAACGAACTTAGAAGCCAAGGTGACCGGTTCGTCTAAGGTGTTCCTAGTGTTCTCACGGGGTTGAGATAGTTGCCAGAGGTATCACGGGAGTTCACTGAAGTTCGCCGAAGTTTCGTCGAAGTTCAACCGAAGAGGGTAGAACTTCTTAAAGCTCATTTGAGGTGAGTTGATGGTTTAATGTCTTATAACTCTTGGGTTAAGTATGAGCTTACCTAAAGAACTGTTATATGTATTCATAATGATGTTTAAAAGAGTTTAAACATGTGATTAGCATGTAAAGGTATAAAATGTATATAAAAACACATGTGATGTTTTGAATGGCCAAAATGACATATATATTAATTGCTTATGGCTTAATACGCATTGTGTTTAATTTTATGAGCAATCAGAGTTGGTTCGGGCAGTCAACGAGTCGTTGACCACGGGTAGAGCAATGGACCGACGTCGACCGGGGCTGGAACTAGTGTCAGTTTGGTCACTGGCAGCCCGGTCTGGGCACGAAACACATGAACCGGAGGCCAACCCTTACCGCCCGTAGGCAGCTCAGCCATTATTGTTATAAGTTGTTACCTTTTGAAAGCGCCTATAAAAAGCAAGTAAAATTCAATTACCAGACACATTGTTTTGGTAGCTAAATCCCTTAGCACTTTCCATTGTTGTACTTTCTTTTTCTTACCGAGTGTTCTGCATAGCTTTCCCAAAGGCGTACGAGCGTCCATTTTTTTTTTACCAAATACCTAATTCCACTATCCCTCGCATATATATGGTGTATATGAATGAACAAGTGGTGCTTTGGATGTTGTTTATTACAATCATTTTGATTTGGTAACAATTTCACCTCCTATGATTTCCATCTATATGATATGAAGTACCAAAGCGTTAATGAAATTACTTTCCTCCAAAATTTCAGCTAGAAAATTGGATCCGAATTATTTCATAAAACTAATATATGTACCCGCGCAGTGAATTGTATGCAAATTTATCAATCAGAGTTTAATAGAGTTCAATCGGACTTTTGAGGGAGAGTGGTCATCTCCAGGTCATGTCACGAGCGCTTTACTCGATCTACAGACCGGCCCACCCATATGATGACCAGCATGAATATCATCTCCAAACCAACTAATCATGCCCCCGTCCCGATGATTCAGACGGTTTGCCCATACCAAGTGATTGAAATGATATTTTCAAGTTTCAGTTCCTTGCTCGCACGTTGGGCTAATCCTACTAGTGCGAGCCAAGCGAAGTGAACGAGGCCACCAGACTCCCATACCCCTTGGACGGGGCGCCCCATGGACTTGCACATTTCACGAAGCCCTCCGTATGGTGACCAAACAACCCTATGCCTGGCCATACCAGGTATTCCACGTTAGTGTGACCAGACGCTTTGGCCTGGGCTTTTCTAGGAGCTATGTCTCCCTCTTTTTAGGAGTGGCTGAAGGCGTACGGTAATTACATGTAAAACTTCCTCAAGTGTTCCACATTCCTAGTTCGGCCAAACGGCCCTCAGTGGTCTTGAGGCCGTACATCCCAGTTGTGTACTTTCCGCGAGACCTGGTACTGTAACACCCCGGCCCCACCGGACCCGAGGTAGTTACTCCGGACCAATAGTACTGTCCCCACAAACCACCACGAGCCTTTACCGCGTACTTTGTCCTCACTCATGCGCGCCCTGAGAAACTTCCCAGGGGGTCACCCATCCCAAGACTACTCCCGTGCAAGCACGCTTAACTTTGGAGTTCTTGGGTGATGAGCTCCCTTAAAAGGAGATGCACCTCTGTTGGTATGAGTAGTACTATTAATCCGTTTATATTAAATCTCAAGTGTTACAGGTACGGACCTTCCCAACTTTTAGCAATTTTACAACCCTCGAGCGGTTTACTTCTCTCTCTTTTGCTCAATTAATAGAAGTCGCTATTTTCAAACTAAAGTTACAAGAGTGCAACCAGCTTACCATACACTTTAAACTCGCAAAATATATCGTATAGCCGGCTGTACCGTGCGCATGTGCAACCAGACTTTTTGTTCTCTGCGCATTGCTCATCGTCCCTCAGATCTCCACTCGCACAGTCAGATATCTTCTCCTCCACCTCGTGTGGCTCGTAGCTTCCTCGCCATTGGGATCGCTTCGCTCGAATCTGCGATGATGGATCTCTCAACGGAGGCTCGAATCGCTCGCCTGTTGGATCCACGATGATGAAGCTCTCAACGGAGGTGGATTTCGTGACTGACGATGAAAGGAATATCAACCCTAGATATTTAGCTCCTTTTCTCTCTTTTTCTTACGCAGGTTTGATGAGTTTGGTAGCTGGTTGGCACAAGCTGCAGATATATATACGTAGTATTACTCATATGAGCATACACATAGAGATTTAAATGTGCCTTTTGAATTGTTCGATGTTCATTTCATAATTTATGTATGCCCATTTAGTATTGGTGTAATACTCATTTTATAATGTTATATTCATGCATATTTCAAAAGTATAATATTACATTAAATTCTCATATTAGATTCATACGAGTTCATTATAGATTTATAGATGTTTTAAAAAATAAGAAAAAAAAAGTGAATTATAAGATATGAAACCTGCAATATCAAAATGCTCATTTTTTTGCAAGAATAAAAATTAATTAATATTAATCAAATCAAGTCACAATGCTCATTATTAGACTCCCGATACTCAGTATAATAGATCTGATGCTCACTAAACACACGCTAATGCTCAATGCTCATTTAAGACTATCTCTAGTGGTGGAGTTTTAAGAGTCTAAAATGGAATTTTAGACTCCTAAATCTATACATCGGTGGTTGGAAAGACGTTATATGGGGGCTTATAAATGGAATGGTGGAGGGAGAGAGTCTACATATAGCCGATTTGATCCACTCCGGCTAAAACAAAAGCGGAGCAAAGAAGGGTGAAGATTGTATCAAAAGTGTGGGTCATCAAACAAAAACAAAAAATCACCTATTCTTTTAAAGTGTTATAACTTTTTTATTTGGTCTCCAAATTTTTCAAAAACTATATCAAAATTCATGATTTTTTAGGAGCTTTCATATGACACCAATATTACATATATAAAGTGAAAAAAGAATTTCAGATTTTAACTGTTGCAGTTTTCTTGAGCACAAAAAAAACACGAAACACAAATTTTTAATTCATGAAGCGTGCATAAATAACTGAATATTACATCATCTCATTTTATAGAAGCGGGAAAACGTTACAAAAAAACTAACGAGGATGCTTAAATGGAATTCGATTTTAATGACAATACTCATAAAATTTTCACTCATTATTTAATTGAACGTTTAGAAGAGAATTTGATAATAATCGAACATTACTTAAACTAAGTTCATTTTTTGTTACCGAAAAAAGTTTAAAAAAATTAATGAAATTTATATTTTTTTACATCGAAATGTGTATTTTTTTATTTTATAATTATTTTGAGAAAAAAATTAAAAGAAAATATTACTTATAATACTTTAATTAATGATCTACTAATTTGATATGTAAAAAATATGTCAAGTGTATTTTATTGACGGTACTGGAATGCAAAGAAAATCATTATTGACGGAGTCTAAACACTGTTTTCATATCGACGGAGTTCATATTTTAGCTTTTTAGACTCTTAACACTCCAAATGGTCAGAAAATAAGAAAATAAAGTCTTACCTTACGGTACAGGCCGTACCGTACCGGAAATAGGCACCCTTTCATCTTCGCCAAAATATGCTAGGCAGACAATATTGATTATAGGCGCACCCAAGCAGCAGACGACAAAACGATGAAACGATTCTTTCAACCGATACAGAAAGATGGGTCCTTTAAGAAACCCGCGCTTTCTCCTTCAAGAAAAGGTGCGGAGATAGCCGCAACGGCAACGGCAACGGCAAACTCCCCCGACGCTGATGAGAATCAGAAGGGGGACAGCAAGAAAGACCCCACCAAGTTCCTGACTTGGAATGCGAATAGCTTTTTGTTACGAATTAAGAACAATTGGCCTGAGTTC